ATACTAGGAAAAGCAAAGTGAAGGGCATTGTTGGAAATAAAGAGGTCAATTTATAGTGATAAAAGGTCTTGTTCATCTGGAAGATATAACTTAACTTTTTGTATAATACTATAAGCAGATTTTTAATGTACCTAATGAAACAAGATGAGAGAAAAAAAATAAAGACATTTAAGAGAGGATACATAGTAGAATTAATAAATCTTGGTGAAGTGGTCCCAAAGAAAGGAAAGGCCTCATTTACCAGTCTGGAGGTGAAGAGGATAGCGCTACAATTATACTTACATTGAAAAATAACTTGATGTTATTGTAAAAGAAACTTAGCAAACTTTCCACATGAGCGTGTTTCAGTTGATTCAGAAACCTTATGGAAATAAAAGGGCTAACAATAGCCAAAACTTACTTAGAGAATACAACTCTTTTCTTGTTCTAAAACTTCTAAACGTATTATAATTTAGATAGTGTTTGATTTTCACATGAAGAAATCTAGGTACACCTGTATCTGATAGAGCAGAATAGAGAATCCAAAAAGAGAAAATGTTGACTTTTTAAATAATTGATTCTGAGTCATTTGGGTATCTTCCGGGGGGGGGGTTATTCCTACATTACACCTACATTAAAAAATCATATCCAAATGGATCACTCATCTACAATGTATAAGGCAAACATCCAGCCTGTAGAAGATAAGATTTTCTCACGTCTTTGGTGCAAGGAAAAATATCTCTTGAACTGACACCAATAATACTAACAAGAGCATCTCATCATGAGAAAATACACTGAGAGTGACCGTGTCACCCACCTGTAACTGATCCAGTTCTCAATCCAGATATGTAAAGATGAAACAGCAATAATAAAGTCCTAGAAATTTATGAGAAACAATGGAAACTCAGTAGAAAAAAATGGAAAAGCAGCCTGCCAGAAGTGTCCAGGTGACCCACACACAGATGAAAAGAGCCCCATAGACAGGAGGAAGATGCCAGTCCAGACCAGCGGAAAGCCCACTTGGCACCTGTCTGAATGACTGAGATGGCAGGACGTAGAGCAGTGGCAGTAAAGTAGTGGAACCTAGGAGTTTCCATAAATTACTAGTGAAAAAGGGGGTAGTTAATAAACCCAGGAAAAACAGAAGAATGTCTGTGCATACTATACAGTGCTACTGACAGGCTTTTTTTTTTTTTTTTTTTTTTTTTTTTTTGGTCTTTTTGCTTTTCCTCGGTACCGGTACCGGGGATCAAACTCACAACTGCCTGCTTGCAAGGCAGGCGCTTATGCCGCTGAGATAAATCCCCAGCCCCTACTGACAGTTTTTAATTGGTGATACTCATAGTAGTCCTCAAATGGAAAACAGTCTAGATGCCAGTCAAAAGTAGGGCAGACAAACATCTTTTCATATACTGGAATATTAGAAAGCAGTAACAGTGAACAAACTAGATATAACATTAAGCTTATAAACATATTTAAATGAAAGCAAATCCGGTTTGGGAGGTCAGGGCAATAGTAACTTCGAGGAAGAGGGAAAAAGGTACTGTTTGGAAAGAGTCAGGAGTAATTCTATTGGTTTCTGGGATGCTTATCCATGTTTTATTTTTATTTTTGATCATATAGATTGTTCCTCTTATGAAAATTGTTTAAGCCATAAGCTAATGAATTTGTACTCTTTTCTATAACTTTGTAAGGAATAATTATGGACATAGTATATAATTAGTACATTGCTCATAGAAACAGAAACTAACAATTTAAACAGCTTTTGTGTGTCAGATTCCAGTGTGCATACCTACTTGTGTTTGCATTGAAACTTCCTAGCAAAGAAAAATTGTAGAGTGGTAGTGTCTGCTTTGTAGACGTGAGGGTTAAGATCCAGAGTGGTTAAGTAATTTGCCTTTCACAGCCTGAATGTTTTTGCTGTTGTTCATTAAAGCAACACTGAGATTACCTCTGTCTCCTGAAAGAATGGCTACCACCAATAAATCAAGCAATAACAAATGCTGAGGGGGCTGTGTGGGGAAAAAAAGAACCCTTTTTCCACTGTTGGTGGGAGTGTAGACTTGTACAGCCACTGTGGAAATCAGTGTAGGGATTCTTCACAAAACTAGGACTAGAGTTCCCACTCTACCCTGCTATTCTTTTCTGTCTTCCCAGAAGAATTCAAACCATGATACCATAGCAGTATATGTGCACTCATGTTTATAGCAACACAGATTATAATAGCCAGATCTTAGACACAACCCAAATGCCTGTCAGCTGAAGAATAGATGAAAAAGATGTGGTATTTTTATGTAATAGAGTACTATTCAGCCATAAAGAACGATAAACTTGAGATGTTTTATAGGTAAATGGATGCAACTTGAGACCATACTCATAGGTAAAATAATTCAGACTCATGTGTTGTCTCCCTGGTTTGAGAAACTGAAAGAGTGAGTTCTAAAATGTACAATAGGTACTGTGAGTTGGGAAGAAATATTTAAAAGGAACTGGGGTGGAGGAGAAAGGAAAGGACAGTAAAAAAGCAGATCAGTTACATTGTTAGTGTCTCTTAGTTCACTGCAAGGGAAGGCTTGTGCTAACATCAGTTGGGAAAAATTTGGGGCTGGAAATTTAGCTCAATGGCAAGAGCACCTTCCTGGCAAGTGCCAGGTCATGTGTTCGATCTTTGGTACCAAAAACAAAAACAAAAAATCTTAATTGGGGAAAATTTTAATGCCTGTCTTTTGAATAACTACAAAGATGACAATATGCAATGTTGTAACTATTGTTATTGTATTACTTTGTCATGAAATTTTGTATTCTCCTTTTTCCATAAAATAAAAAAGTATTTTTCCTGTTGCTAAGAGTGCTTTTTAGATTAGGACCTTGGTTTCTTCCATGTGTATTCATATTTATGTTCCTTACCAGTTCTCTGTTTTTATCCTCTTCTCTCCTTTTCCACTTTTGGACATTCTGCTATTATAGACGCTATACTCAACATCTTTGTACATCTCATCGATTACTTTCGTATGTTAAACTTTTTTTTTGTTCTGGTTTAGGTTTTTGGTGGTTCCTGAGCTTGAGCTCATAGACACGTGTCAGGCAAGCGCTCTACCGCTGAGCTCAGTCCTCAGCTTGCGCACGCACTCCTGTTCTCTCTTTCCCCAGCTCCTTCGCCCCCACCTCCTCTTGCGGCGCCTGCTTTCTTTCTCACCTAAACCGAACAGTTGCTCCACACAATCCAGTTGTCTGAGTTTCTCGTTCATCATATAACATAATTTTTCCTGTTGCTAAGAGCTCTTTTTAGATTAAGGACCTTGGTTTCTTCCACATGTATTCATATTTTTAATATATTAGAGTTAGAGGCTGTCCCACCTTTCATCATGGGTTCAAGGTGCTTTTACTTATTTAACCCTGAAGTGTGGGTCACTTAAAGACACTCTACTGGAGATGCACAAAGTGAGGTCTCAAAGGAGTGCCAGGGGCTGCTGATAAATTATGTCGGGGACAGGATTTAAAATTTGTTTTTCAGGAAGATCACTTTAAAGAAATACAAAAGTTGCAAATGAGCAGAATCAAGAGTGTAAGTGTCCTTAGGAATATTTTGATAATCTTGAAATTTGTTGTGATAAAAATGGAAAGACAAGGTTGTATTTTGCATATTCTGCAAGAGATAGAACCAGAAAGATGGGATGGCAGGAGATTTGGCTAACAGACTATGGGGGGTGGAGGCCTTCTAACGTGAGTCCCAGAGTTTTGATTGTGCTTGACTGGATATACTAACTGTGGTAGAAAATAGAGGCAGAGCTTCAGCGTAGGGGTGATTGAGCTTTGTTCTCTTCAGTTCGCAGTCTTTGCAGCATTTAAGTAGAGACTGGGTGCGCCACAGGACTGGGCACTCTCCCCATCAGCTTCACTGTCCATTACATTACGCTTAGTGTACGTTGCTGTACAGTAACTGGAAGTGCTATTGGGGCATTTATTAACTGCCAGAGCTGTTTCAAGTACTTAACCTTCACAGTGACCCTTTTGAGCAGGTGCTCTTAACACTACCAGGAAATAATTCTTGTAAGGCTGTACAGGTGCTAAATAGTGAATCTGGGCTTTCAGACACCAGTCTTCGGTGTTTGTGGCAGAGCGAGCAGTGCTGTATGTCTGTGGCAGACTGCAGAAGTGCTTCGGTGGTGGACAGCATGGTATGGGAGGCGTAGGAGTTAGCTGGTTCATTCCGAGGAAGCGTGAGCATTTTGGAGTGAGGGGTTGTGAGGTTTTATGCCTTGTCTTTTCAGAAGTCTTTGTCCTGTGCCCATCTGTCTTTCCCTCCTCCTCTTCTCCTCTCCTATCATAGAATGATCTTTTATTAGCCAGCAGTACTTCTGTGAACCACAAGTGTCAGTTCTTCAGATCTCCTGTGAATGGCATGGCTGTGGTTCTCGCCTGTTCATTGTGTTCTTTCTTTGTGGTTAACTTGCCTGGCCTAGGTTCTCTTAGGACTGTGTTTCAAGTATCCCGAGGAATCTTGGCACCTTGGAGTTGAATTTGAGTTCTGTGTTGTGTCTTTGTGTCCTGTTGGTTGTGTATGTCAAAGGGAAGCACCATTAGGACAGATCTTTGACTCTGGGTGCAGGAATCTCAGGGATCTTGTTGGCCATGTGTGCGGCAGACACAGAGCAGCATCTCAGTAGTGCCCCACTGGCAAGGCTTTTCTTGAGAATTCAAATTCTTAACTCATCTTGCAGTTCTCAGTTTATAAAAATCTCCAACATGAAAGACATTTTCAGGGTTGATACACTTGCTTCATGAAAGGCTTTTCTAAAGGTTTTCTCAGTGTGGATTTACAGATAGTCATTTTAAACACTGTGTTTAATACCATGTAGTATGTAATTTTATATAGTGTGACATACATCTTTTTGTAGTTGTAAAGGTTTTCGATATTACTGTTTACCCTAAAACCCATGTTTAAAGAATGATCAGATATGTCAAATGTTAGAAACATAAGAATGTGAATACATCCTTAAACTTTGCTTGTCCTTTCTTAGGAGGAGAGACTTCAGCATGCAAACCTTCATCTGTTCGGCTTGCACCGTCATTTTCATTCCATGCTGCTGGCCTTCAGATGGCTGGACAGATGCCCCATTCACATCAGTACAGTGACCGTCGCCAGCCAAACATAAGTGACCAACAGGTTTCTGCCTTACCGTATTCTGACCAGATTCAGCAACCTCTAACTAACCAGGTAAGGTCATGAAGTATCAGAAGTGGTGTTGAAATGCTAGTTTGTTATTTAAAAATATTAGAGTATTAAATAGGCAAAATACTTTAGCAGGTTTTAGTTTTATACATTACATGCGATTTTGGATTACCACATGGTGTTGTTTTATTTAAAAATTTGTTGATTTTTTTTTCCCCCTGTTTTTACTTTGGATTTCACTCAAGACACTCAAACAATTTTATAGCATAGTTTTGTAGTATAGAGAAGGAAAAATACTATTTTAAAAGAATATTGAACTCAAAGAAAAAGCTTATTTTTATGAAAAGATAAAAACATAGGAAGGTACGATTCTATTACAGCAAACTTACAACAATTTATGTAGTTATTAACTGCCTTAATATACATTGGTAAAAATGCAAATCTTTAAAGGGCAAGTTAAAAAAAATTATACCCATGAACTGTGCTGTTCATTCAGATATTCAGATGGGAGGTCTGCAGTTTTCACAGTAGCTGGGGAAAGATGAACCTGAAGTCTCTCAGGATGCACACAGTCCTAAGAGAACCTAGGCCAGGCAAGTTAACCACAAAGAAAGAAGACAATGAACAGGCGAGAACCACAGCCATGCCATTCACAGGAGATCTGAAGAACTGACACTTGTGGTCCACAGAAGTACTGCTGGCTAATAAAAGATCATTCTATGATAGGGGAGGAGAAGAGGAGGAGGGAAAGACAGATGGGCATCTATTCACATCTCTGTGTTTTAATACTTTCCTGATCAGCTGCACTCACTCCATTGATGATTGGTTTGGGAGAATTTTCTTTACTGGCTATAGTTGGGAGGTAAAGTTTCTCTGCTATATTAAATGTGTGATGCCCACCAAAAATAAATTGTAGATTGCATTAATTATTTTAATATATCAAAGTGCTATAAAAAGTTAAGAAATTTAAAATTATTTCTTATGCTAGATTATTTGAATTGTGTTCTAATTCAATAATGCATTTTAATGAGTAATTGGATACATTTAAGTATTCTAGAGTGTATTATTATGAAGTTTTGTCAGAACTTAGGCCGTCATTTCATTTATAGAATGCATAAAACGTGTGAGTAGCAGTCACAGTTACAGTTTATAAGATGAATAATGGCAAGACTTAAGAATTTGTTTTATATGGTAAAGTGATTTAAAAAGTGAGGTCTGTGTTTGGGAATTGGAACAGTTCGTTCAAATGTTCAAGTTTAGAAAGTATCTAACTGTGTGACTGAAGAAAACTCTTCAAATCCACTTCATAATACTGGCGGAAGACTTATTTGCACTGTTTGCGGAAACAGTCTGTAAGGATTCCTCCCCAGTGTCCAGGAGCAGTCCCACAGACCGCTTGCCTTGGTCCCCCTCCAGCTGCAGGGGCTGAGCTGCCCTTTGTGACTCTCCAGGGCAGGACCTGTGAACCTGTGGACCTGGTGCCAGCTTGGCTTCTCTTGGAAATAGTGATCTCTTGCGCAGCTAACATCTGCCATCTACAGAGAGCTGGGAAAACCCTTACAAGTCATTTACTGTAAGAAGTAATTTAGTTAGCAAAGGATCTATTTTTATATCCAACTTACATGTTGTTTGTCTTTGAGTCATTTAAAATTAGAGATACTTTACTTAGTATTAAAGTTGTAAAGTGTTTTTAATGATTACATGATGTTAGAAGAGACTGCCTTTTAGCTGGAAATGGAAATTTTAAGACCAACCTAGACAGCTTATATGGAACCCAAGCTCAAAATAAAATAAAAAACTATAGGGCAAAGGATATAGCTTAGTGGTAGACCACTTACCTAGCAAGCGAGGGCCTGGGTTCAGTCCCAATTGCCTCTCCCCACAGAAGAAGAAAGAAATGTAAGGAATATAAAAGAGCATGACTAGTAATTGACATGCTGATTTTCTTGGGCTATTTTAGTTTTCACAGTACCTTTTGTAGCTCTTAAATCCTTCTAGTGTCCTGAGTATATGTGATACATGCTTTTCAGTTAATAGCTCTTAAAATAGCAGAAAGAAGGAATGCAGTGTTTTCAACTCCAACATATGTGAAAATGAGGTAAATATAAAATGAATGTAATAGACATTGTTAAACTAGAATACAATTTTTTTTTGTCTTTTTCGTTTTTCTTCGGTACCAGGGATCGAACTCACGACTGCCTGCTTGCAAGGCAGGCGCTTATGCCGCTGAGCTAAATCCCCAGCCCCTAGAATACAATTTTTGAGTAAATTTATTATCTTAAACTATAAAATCTTTTCAGAGAAAAGTTAATGGTGGTTTTAGCTCTTAGCACCTGATCGAAGCTGGAAGAGGCATTCTGCCTCTTTGCTTTGCAGTTTATGTTAAGAAAAAGGCCAAGAGACCGGAACACTGAAGGATTGAGTCAGGTAGCTGAGGCTGCAGGGTGACGTCTCATCTACTTTGCTTTCTGCAGGTTATTCCCCAGAAAATGGTGTAGTACCTGCAGCCTGTGAGCTCCTGGGTCCTCTGAATGCCTTGGCTTTGCCTCAGCTGTAGAAGGGAGGAGGGCAGCTTGCTTTAATTAATTACTGTAGGGTACAGTAAAGAATCGGGGAGTACAGAGACCCTCAAATGCTTCGGCCTGGCCTTGAGCCTTAGCTTAGAAGTATAACTTGGTTTTTTAAAGCTGTTTTACAATTCTAAATCTGTACTTAATGGCAACATAGTATCATAAAACAGACAGTTTGGTTAACATGAAATCGTTGTGAAAATGAAGGAGATACTATTTTGTAGAAATTAATCTGATTTTTTGATTTTGCTTTGTTTTTGGAGCACAAGGTGTTATATGAAGCACTGAAATACACTGATCTGAAGCCACTGCTTTTGTGGACAGAATGTCTATGTTTTATACACACAAGTGCCCCAGCAGAAGTAATTTTTACTGCCTGAAATAGACAGAGTAAGGCAGCAAGAATTAGCTAATCTGCTGGGCCTGGTAGGTGGAGTTGGACCAGTTAAGGCAATGCTGGCCATGTTCTGTGAAGCACCACATGCACGGTACACACTCCTAGCGATTGCGAAGATTTGGTCTTAGAGCTCAGTCATGTGTTGGATGGCAGCTTGTGTCGTCTTCGGAGTGAGCTGAGTTTTCTTTTAGAGGGACTTTATCTGGGGCTCTGACTTAGTCAATTTCATGGGCATAAATACCCCTAAGAGGAAGTGAGGAGCTTACAGCTGAGCTGGTGATAATGACTGCAGGTACTTGGATGCAGTGAATTGTCTTTGAGGATTACCAGAAGCCACAGGGAAGGGAACCCTGCACAGAGAGGCATGACATTTGGTGGCAGCATGATGCTTGAAGAGCAAACCAGAAGTGTGAAAATGCCAGTTGCAGATGTGTGGCTGTGTTTAGAGAGCGTTCATGCCCCTGTTCTGCGTTAGGAAGAAGTGTGCAGTTGAGCCCCTCACTGCCCCAGATGATGATAAAGAGAGCTGCCCGTAGTTTAGGGTCTGTTAAGGGGAAGAGGCAGCTTGTGGTGAGGTTGGGACATTCTTGTGGGTGACACGTTTTCTTTCAGTGATACAGAAATGAGCCCACATTATACCTCTGCTTTGGGACACTGTCTGAGAGGGCAGGCAGGGGCCTGGTGGAGTTAAGAACTGCACCTTTTCAGCACCACCAGCTGGAGGCAGTGGGACTTGGCGGCCGGCTTGCTTTTTGGTGGCATCTAAGTTGCCTCTTACAACCAGGTTTATTTTTATTAGCTTGTCCTGAGGCAGGTCAGGTTTTAGGAGTAATTGAGAAGAAAGTTTTCTCTGAGAAGATGGAGAAGCCCTCCAGACAAACATCCTGTGTGTCTCCTGGGCTTGGGTGTGTCAGAATTAACACTTGGGGTAACTGGGCATGTTTGTTCTAGTGTTTTCATTGGGATCGTGATTCGAGTGTATAATCTCATATAGAGTTCCCTCTTTGTAAAGTAGATACATACAGGTTACAAGAGATGGGATCACATCACTGCAGTATAGTTAAAGTGCTAGTCTTCTCTGTCTATTTAAGGTGATGCCTGATATTGTCATGTTACAGAGGCGGATGCCCCAAACCTTCCGTGATCCATCAACTGCTCCTCTGAGAAAACTTTCTGTTGATTTGATCAAAACATATAAGCATATTAATGAGGTAAGGCTTTTGATTTGTTTTAATAGCATCTATCTTTCAATCAACTGGGAAAAGTGATTTTATGTCTATTTAAATATCCTAAACTTGTTTTCTTAAGATTGTCATATGTAAGATTTTAAAGAAGACTGATAAATGATTTACAGATAGTATACTTACATCTGTGTGAAAAAGATAATAATAATGCAAATAATAAAGTATGTATTTTTGAAGTTACGTTTAATATGCTTAGTTTTCATTTTTTTATAACTTCCTCAATACAAGGAGGAGGAAAATGAGTCTGTAATAAACTCTGTATGTTACACGTTTGTTTAAATGTTTATATATATGTTTCTAGTTTTTCTCTGTATGTCAGGAAGCTTTGAGATACATTAATATCCAGTTATAGACATTTGGTCTAGTTTATTGATATCTCTGTAGCTCTGTGATTTTATTGTCCTCCAGAGGTTTTATGTGTATTCTTTTCTCAATATCCTTCAGTGGTAAGATAACTAAAAACTTTTTGTTATGTTTTGTTTTGTTTTGGTACTGAGGGTCGAACTCAGGATCTTGCACTTGAGCTATATCCCTATTTCTTTTTCTTTGGTAAAAATAATAGGATTTTTTAAAAAACAGAGCTTTGAATTACTTATACTACTTGTGTGTGTGTGTGTTTTGCTGGTACTTTGCATCTTCCTGCAACTAGATTGCTATTTCCTTTTAGCCTCAACTCTAGTAGCTTTATAATTAATTATTAAGTGAACTTTGTAGAAGAGTCTGGCTTGCTTTCCTCTTCCAATAAGAGCCCTACTTTCTGTCACAGTCAAGGCTTATTTATACTCTTTTAGCTTTAGAGCAGTTTATTTAACTGCAGAAAATGTTATACACACTTTTTAGGTGCAAACTTCATAACAATTTGATGTTGCTTAATGGTAGTACTGTTTATATTACTGGCACGAGATAGGATTAACTGAATAAGGAGCATATCTGAGGTCAACTTTGTGTGTTACAAATGATATAACAAACTAGCTGACAGACCGTTTCTTACGGTATATCAATACCTGATAAACTGTTAATAAAGAGTGGTTTTATTGAAGCTTGTTTTTAATATTTTGCCATCTTGAATACTAGCCTTTTTCAGGTATTCTGTGGAATGTAGTTTATAATTCCCTCAAAGCTAGTTACTCGTTACTTGGACATTGCCTTTTTGTTTGTTAATTTTTAAAGTTTTTTTTGGTTTTGTTGTTAAACTACTCTCAAAAGGCAAACAAGGTATAAGAAAAATAACTGGTCTGTGATGAATTACAGTGTTTAGGGCCTTTAGTGAGTGTAGGGTCAGCATAGTGGTGTCCCCTGGGAGTCCCCCTTTTAAATCATTATAGTTACTATGACTTAAACTGGGCACTTTTAATAGAAAAGTTTCTCTGCATTTGAAGTTTCATTTTAAGATCTTAAAAAGTTGGCATGGACTAGGAAGGGGACCTTAAGGAACTTGAAAGGCAATGGAAGTTAATTTTATTTGGTGTTGATTGCATTAGTGTAAATGTTTCTCAGAATTTTGTACATTTAAGAGCTGTGCCATGTGTCCAAGTGGAATGGTGCACGCCTGTAATCCCAGCACTTGAGAGGCTGAGACAGGATGATCACTGAAAGTTTGAGGCCAGCCTGGGCTACATAGTGAGTTCTAGGCCAGACTGAACTATTAAGTGAGAATTGGTCTTAAAAAACAAACTTAGTTCTGTGCCATTTCATTGTAAATAAATTAAACCTTAATTTGACATATAACAGGGCGCCTTCTTAGGCTTTGTGACTAAAATACCTTGGGCCACTCCCAAAGTCACCTGTTTATAAAATGCGCGATACTACAACTAACTAGGCAGTGAATTTCAGTTTAGCCTTTCCCCATTGATTACATGTCAACTGCAGAAGAGTCTTTATTTCATTTTCTGTAGTTATTGAGGGTAAAATTCATTAGTTTCCTACTGGTACTTTTGTTTCATTAATTCTTTTGCTATATGACCCTTGGAACAATGACTTTTAAGGTATGCAGTTAGCACTGTGTATTTTCATTTCAGGTTTACTATGCAAAAAAGAAGCGAAGACACCAGCAGGGCCAGGGAGACGATTCAAGTCATAAGAAGGAGCGGAAGGTTTACAATGATGGTTACGATGACGACAACTATGATTATATTGTAAAGAACGGGGAAAAGTGGATGGATCGTTACGAAATTGACTCCTTGATAGGCAAAGGTTCCTTTGGACAGGTAACTGCATGGAAGATACTGTATTTCGTGAATTAGGACTTCTTTGTAAATCACCCATTTAGATTTTAATTTATATCTCTGAAGATAGTAAACATGTATCGCCATAAAAACTCTCCTGCACTTTTTAAAAACTTGCTTTGGCTGTGACTGATTTTTTACTAACAATGAAGTGATTAGTTTAAATCACTGATAGATAGTATTTCCTTTTTCATGTGGACTTTGGGGGTGTCTACAAAGGATTGTTCATTATGCATGTAAGACAGTTCCCTTTATCTGATCGGCCCTCCTGGAGGAGAAAAGAAGCCCCCTTGAAGGTGGCCCTGCAGGTGTCCATGCTTTTCTGGAGGCCTGAGCCTGTGCCCTGGGTTTCTCCTACCTCTTCAACCATGCAGGACACAAAGGCTCCGGGGTGCACTCTTGCCTCTGTGGGCAGCGGCTCCCGCACGGCTCAAGCTCTGGGAGCAACATCTCCGTCACTTCTGCTCTCCCATTCCCCCATCCTCATGTAAATGCCTGCCCTGTCAGAGCACATGACTGGATCCTGCGACAGTCCTTTGCATCATCGCTCAGCCCAGAAGAGACCTGGGAGCTCTGCCTGCTTCCGGCCCCTCCCACTTTAGAAAAGGTCTCTGACTGTTTTCTGTGCTGTCCCCAGCTAGTAGGCCTTCCTGTCGCAGTGTTTGAGAGCTCTCGTTCCGAGGTGCGGTTCACTGTGGCCCGTCTCCTCTGCCGTACAGTCCTTTGCAGCGGGTTAGGTGTTCGTGATAATCCAAAAGCTTCTTTTGACTTTTGAGTGAGAGAGTAGAACAGAGGTCAGAATGACTCTGAATTGTCTTTTGATTTCTGCTGTTTTTAAGTTAAGAAATCTGTGTGCATGTTTTCTCTGTTCTGCCCTGAGAGAATGCAACACATTTGCCCCTTTCAGCCTGGGAGGAAAACACCACCTGTCAGACGCAGTCATGCTAGGGATGAGAGCAGACCATAAGCCCATAGTGGCGAATCTACGGGACGCTGCCGCAGCAGGGTGTTTGTGTCACTGAAAGCTCCAAGAGGCTCTTCCGAGCTGCCACCAGCCACACATGTATACGCAGGAAGACCCAAGCTATTGAACCGTGTAAATAGATGGGAAGTGTGTTGGAAGAGCTCTGTAACTCTGGCCTGGCTGTACCAGGTTTCTGTGACACGAGTGTGATAAGTGTTGCCTCTGCCCATGTTTCAAAGGAAGCTTTCCTCGATTTATAATCTTGTTTTTTGTGAACAAGGGCTTTCTCGGTACTCAGGGAGTGACAAGTAGATTCTGCTGGTCTGTCAACATTTCTTGGGCCGAGTTCTTCCTAACCAGGGCTGTGAACATACCACACTGGAAGTTAGTACAGAGCTTGCTGGCTCCACCTAGAAAAGTACAGCAGCACTTGGACAGTACCTCTCAGGAAGATGTTTTTCTAACTTTGTGACACCGCCCTTGAAAGTTGTGTCCATACAGCAGTTTATATACTTTTATATAATTATTTATATACTTTTTAGTCTTTTGAGGCAGGGTCTTGCTGTGTAGTTCAGGCTGGCTTTGAACTCATTGTGTAGTTCAGGCAGGTCTCGAACTTGTAGCAATCCTCCTGTCTCAGCCTCCCATGTGCTGGGATTACAGGCGTGTGCCAGAATGCCTGGCCAAGTGAATTGCTTTTATATTAAGAAAAAAGTAGTTTTTGGTAAGAAAGGCTTAAAAAAAATCAAAGTGCTTGTAAGGAGTCATAATTTTACATCTGATTGAGAGAAGCAGTCTAATTTTGTAAATATTTAGAAATACTGTCATAAGAATACAAAAGTTCACTTAAAAAGACTCAAAAATTTAATAAAATGGACGATATATTGAGTGGATTATGGTCTTTTATATTTAGGAAGGTCAGAAAAATAGACTTAACAAGCATTACGTAGATGTACAATTGGAAAGAATTATAAACTGTTAAGAAATTGTCATGATTAAGAAATGGAGAATTACTTACCTCTCTTCGCTTTTAGGTTGTGAAAGCATATGATCGGGTGGAGCAAGAATGGGTTGCCATTAAAATCATAAAAAATAAGAAGGCGTTTCTGAATCAAGCCCAGATAGAAGTGCGACTTCTTGAGCTCATGAACAAACATGACACGGAAATGAAATACTACATAGGTAAGTAAACAGTGTGGTGTGTCTGCTCTACACCAGAAATTTGAATCAGTGGTTATTTTTGTACCAAGATACGTTGATTTTTATATTAAAGTGATTGATTCAGCTTTTATTTCTCTTGCCAGGCATGGGTTTCTATGCTACCTAATCTGAAATCTTTGGGAACAGCGCATTCCAGATAGTATATAATGTAAAAACAAACAGCAGTGTCTTTTTTTTTTTTTTTTTTTTTAATGCAACAGGCTGGTGCCATTTGTGTGTTGTAGTGTTGTTTGTTGGTCCCCAGAGTTGTCCTTGTGGTAACGTTAGCCATTTCAAGTGTCGTTCAGAAACTGATATGAGCTAACACCCAGTTAGTGTCTGTGTCTGCGTCTGCGGCTGTGTCTGGAACGCCTGAGCCAGTGTCTCTCCTGCTCCTGGGCTGCTGCTCAGCTCAGCAGCAGGAGAAGCAGTTGGATTTACTGCAGCAGAAGTGAGAGCAGCCACTCTGTAGTCCCCTCCTGTTCCCCTCCCTGTGCCTTCCTTCTGTCATCCGTGATGGTCACAGCAGCCCCCCAAGGAAGTGTGGAACCTTTACATCATAAATGGTGCATATAAGAAGTGACATCTAGGTTCACGGAACTGGAGCTCAGATCTGAACCTGCATTTGTTGAGTAGTCTGCCTCACTTTCAAACCTGTATATCATTGTCACCTTCATTGTTTCAGTCTTCTTTCTGCAAACTAAATCAGAGGACAGAGAATTAAGAAAATAGTGTCGTCTATGGCTATTTGATACATGGGCAAAGCACCTTCTGATTAAATCATATTTACTACTATTTTTATTTGTTCAGAAATGTTGACTTGATGAACATAAGATAAAATTTTAGGTCCTTTAAAAACAGGGAATTGGAAAATGTAGTGTCCTTAATAAAGCTTTATTTAAAAGTGGTGCCATTTTAAAATGGATTCATATTCTTCTTTTTCTTTCTTTTTTTGGTATTGGGGATTAAACTCATGACCTCGCGCTTGCCAAGCAGGCACTTACGCCACTGAGCTAACCCGGCCCCTACCATTTTAAAATGGACATGGTAAACGATTATGGTTCTGTAGTTCCCTGAAAGTGGTAGGAATAAGTAACGATGGTAAATGGTGTAAGATTGAGATAATTCAGATTATGTGCATTTATTCTCCTTTGTTCCAAGAAAAATGAACTTGTGCTATTAGACTTTCTTCCTTGGAGCCGGGCATGGTGGCACCTGCCTGCAGTTCCAGTACTAGGGAGGCTGAAGCAGGAGGATGGCCAGGAGTTCAAGGGCTACACAGTGAGTCCAAGCCAGCCTGAACTCACTGTGAGAGACTGTCAGAGAGCGAGCCCAGCCTTAATAGGCAGAGTTGAGGAGCGAACACTTGTGAGTATGTACTTCCTATATGCCAGTCATGTTTCCTCCAGCAAGGCAGAATTAACAGGGTCCCACCAGCTTGAACCACCCATGACTATGCCATAGGGTGGCCCACACCCCTGCCGTGGAAGTGTTACAGTCATGCTTGGGACAGCTGTTCATGTACCATCGGTGGCTTGTGCTGCCTGGCTGCAAAGCATACAAATTAGAGCTCTGCCATAGATGTTGTCAAAAGCAGCACTCTAATGTTATAGACAGTCTCTACTGCTTAAGCGCTCAGAAGACAACCCAGTGTAAGGAAGAAGGGTAAAGGCCTGTCTGTAGGTCCCTTTATAAATTAGCCCCTCAGAGTGTCCCTTGAACGCAGCTGGAATCGTCTGCACTGTTACCTCACAATGTGCAGCAAAGTCGGTGTTGGATGGGTGTCAGGTATCCACAGAGAAGTGAAGGAAAGTGCTGGCAGACTGTTTTGTTTCGAATAAACTGATTGTAATGACCATTTCAGTAATCATGTTAGTCATTACAAATACTCTCTTGGGAAAGGTAGTTTTCTTTAAAGTTCTGATTTGGGAAGATGGCAAATGTCTTATTTTCTTGTTGCTGGGACAACATGTCAGACATCCGTAACTTAAAGGAAGAGAGGTTTGTTTCCACTCATGTTTTCAGTCTGTGGTTGGAGAGTTGTAGCGGAGGAGAGCTGCTCACATCATGGAAGAAGGGGCAAGCCAGAGCAGAAGAGATATGCACCTTTCCCTACCCTTCTTGGCTCCCAGTGCCTGCCCTATGAATGAACCACCCCATGATCCAGTCATCTTCCAGAAACCCCCTTTGAACCCCCGAGGCTTCTGAGCGACATTCCAGGTCTCAGCTATAATAGTGAATATAAAGTGTTTAAAAAAACAGGAGGCTCTGTTTTTAAAACATCAGAAAAAGAACTTGTGTTTTGAAATATACGTTAGAATATTGTTACATTGAGTCATTCTACTATGCTGTAGAAAATTGGAGCTTACTTCTCCTAATCAAGATTTAGTATCCATTTGATGAACCTTTCCTCATCCTCCCTTCCCACTGCTCTCTCCTTCATAGTGTGTCTTATTGGGGTTCTTTGGAAGTGCCAGATACCTAGGTTATTTGGTATAATCTAATTAAAGCAAAATTCAAGGTAGGTCTGGAACTAACAGTTTAGGCTTCACCAGCCTCTCTGTTCTTCCGAGTTGGCTTTAAAAGACTGAACAAACGTGCCTGTTTGAGCTTTCTGTAACAATGTTTTAGTGCTCTGTACATTGCAGGTACTCAGTAATGAGGGATCAGTTACAAGATCAAGGGGAAATGGTAGACCTTTCATTGGGAGACCATTCCAGTTACAGAGCTGCTTAAAGGAATCTTCACAATCACATTAGAACTCTGACATCAGATATCCTTTGCATTGCTTTTGTGGCTACTGCTTAGCTTCAACTAAAAACAAAAACCCATGCATGGGTCATGTTTGTGAGGTATCATGAAGCTGTTTTTACTTCTAAACCTGTGAGTTAGAATGACTAAGAGGAGATACTATACATTTTAAAGTAACCTTTAAGGACTTTTTATTACTTGTAGGGTCAAATAGTGCAGTAGGCTCTTTTATAAGCCATGTAGAATTTCCTTTGTGTTACTTAACCCCAACTTTAGACTGTGTCACGAGTGATCTAAAAAAGACCAAAAAAAAAAGAAAAAGACAAGTTGTCCAGGACTAGCACCAGGAAAATAGCATATGTGAGGTCTGGAGAAAGTGCTGTGGGCAGACCTGATTGTGATTCTAAAGGGCTGAGTGAAGGTGGATGGGTTCTGCCATTCTGGTTGAGTTTCAGGGCCCAGGCCTGGGTTTGTAGGCAGTGCAGCGCGAGTTAGGGTGAGTGACTGCTGTGATGCCGAGTCACCGTTAACACTTAGGTACAGCCTTCAAGGCTTTGAGATGTGGGCACTCAGCTGCTCTCAGAGGGTCAGCAGTGGCAGCAGCTCATAGATTCTGTATCATTTTGCCGTTTGTGGGCCTACTCATCGGCTGTCCTTGTGATTTTTTATTTTGAAGTTGTCAAAAACCTTCAGCCTGGCACAGAATTTCCCTTCCATCAGTTTGATGAACTTAGTAATCAAGTCCCTTGATCATAGGATTCTGAGTACCTTAGAACACCCGATTTCGAAACACTTGCTAAACAAAAACTAAAATTTGAAAAACAAAAAATAAAATTACGTTGTACTTTGACAGTTGTTACAGAACATTGTTAGTAAACACAAATTATGTATTGATTCATCAAAGCCAGTGCATTGGGATGTCAAGTAAGTATATGAACTGAGGCTTGTGTATGTACAAGTTGTGGGGTGGGGCTCCCAGGGAGTGAAAAATGTTTTATATAAACCATGATCAAGTTGCTGAGGCATCTTCACTCCTGTTTTGTATATTGGCTTTTTGTATTTTCATTCCTGACTTAAAAGTTTTTTTCTAGAAGTAAGACATTTTGGTGGTATTGTTTCTTGACAGCCCATTTAATTCATCAGGAGAGCACTTTAAATATTCTTAACTAATCTGAAAATGTATCTTTAGGATCAGAGATATAAGGTCAGTGGCATAAGCGCCCACCTGGCAAGTGCAAGGTCCTGAGTTTGATTTCTGGCACCAAAAAAAAAGTGATTTTTAAATCCTGCAGAATGCTGATCTTCACACCTCAGTATTTCACTTAATACTTGGCATTGTAATATTACAGGTTGTGTGACAGTATGTTTGTGTGTGTGTGTGTTCTCCTCTTCCTGGCATGTGTAATTTAAAGTAAAACTTTCCTCTTTCAGTGCATTTGAAACGCCACTTTATGTTTCGAAACCATCTCTGTTTGGTGTTTGAAATGCTGTCCTACAACCTCTATGACCTGTTGAGGAACACCAATTTCCGGGGGGTCTCTTTGAACCTGACAAGGAAGTTCGCGCAGCAGATGTGCACTGCACTGCTTTTCCTGGCGACTCCAGAGTTGAGTATTATTCACTGTGACCTGAAACCTGAGAACATCCTCCTCTGCAACCCCAAACGAAGCGCCATCAAGATCGTTGACTTCGGCAGTTCTTGTCAGCTGGGGCAGAGGGTAAGTGTGTTTCAGGAATTGTGAGTGAAGATAGAATTAGATAGACAAGTAGATACTTCAAATGAAAATACAGTTAACTTATTTGCAAAAATAGTACATAATTACAAAGATTAATGAAACAAAACAAACAGAACCTTTAACTGAAAACGCACAGCCTGTTTATCCACACACACCTCTCCACTGACTTCCCCAAAGGTAATGCATCCCCCCGCCCCAGTATATTACAAAAAAATTTCATATAGACAGTGTTGTACAGTCTTCTTGACAATTTGCTACAGTCTGTTTACCAGTAAGTAGATAATTTCAAATGTTCCTAATACAGTGTGTAAGATTTGAAGACTGTTATAGGATAGTTGTTTATCTCTAAAATGTACATTACCTGCATCACCTTGCTGTGATATCTATTTAAAATCCAGAAGCAATATTTGAATTAGAAGATACTGAATTTTCAGAGTGGATATATTTAAATTCATATACATTCTAAAACATAAGCAAGAATAAGAGATAAAAGAATTAGATACCAGGTGATTTGTATGGGTATTTCCCAGATAGAGACTTTCATATGAAGTTTGGGAGATTGCAGTATTGGAGCTTAAATCCTTGCTATGAAATATTTTCTGCCTCATAGCAAGATAAATGTTTTTTTCTGAAGAGCTTGTAGTTTAAAACCAGTGCAGTGATTTCTGTAGTAGTCGTGGTATTGTCATGTAGTGTTACAGAGCTGATGGACAGACTTGTGTTAACAAATAAGTTAAGTCTTACTCTCCCTCTCACAAATTAGAATTTGTGTAAGGCCTGGCACATGTCCAAACTGGCTTTCCTCACGCTGTTGAAAACACATGTATCCATAGTGATAAAAGTTTAGCTGATTGAGGAGAGCGTATCTCTTTTATCATTCTGTTGAGCATTATGAAACTACTCTATATAAAATAGAAGTTACAGGCAGTTTTCCTTTTCAAAGGAATTAAGATCACATTTGATAACATTGTATTTATTTTATACATTGTTCTATTTATGTCAAAGTATTAAAACTATTTTTTAAAGAAGTCTAACATTTGTGTTACTATTCCATAGTAGCTTTTCCATTGTTTTCTAAACTTCCTGTCTTGTCCAGATTTTAAATAGTAGGTTAATTTGCTTGTGAAAGTTGATAGCCAGTTCACAGGATTGTCTCTTTGGGATGTTTTGCAAGGTAGTTATAGTAGGGAAGCTATGCATTACTGGAAAAAAAACTTTTTAAATTGAACTAAGCAGGAAAGTTAGTTTCAGATGCCTCTGAGCAATCATCAGATATTCAGTAGGTAGTGAATGAAAATGCATCCTCACCTTGAGGATAATTTCGGACTTTGAAATTTTTTCCCCCTATTTAAAACAAATTACGTATTCTGTCCAATATCAAATACTGTTATGTCTGTCCAGCAAAACTGAGATGACTGACTGTCCCTTTAGCTAGTACATTTTTAATAGTCACATGTGTTGATACCGCAGGGCAGGCCATTTCCACAATGAATGCCGGTGGCTTTACCCCCAAGTCTGTTGAGTCAGAACCAGAAGGTAGCAGCGCTAGTACATGTTAGGGCCGGGTTCCTTCGGTGATTTTGAGGCACAGTCTTGTAGATAACAAAGCCATTACTGCTTTAACTAGATGGGATGTGTAGATCGCAGTTTCCTTTGTAAACTGCGAAATGATACTTTCTGCTTAATATTTTAGTATTGACCTATAAAAACTTGGAAATGCCTACAGGTGAACATTGGTTAACTGAAATGCTTGGGACCAGAGGTGTTTTAGATTTCATAGTTTTTTTGAACTGTGGAATATCTGCATAGATGTTGACAGTTGAGTATCCCTATCCAAAGCTAAAAACCTGAAACCCTCTGAAATGCAAAACTTTTTACATGCCATGCTTTAGGTTTTGGAGCATTGTAGACTTGGAATTTTTGGATTGAGGTGTTTAGCTTATAGTTTTTTCCAGTTACTTTGAGTTACTAGGCTTTCTCCTAATGCCATAAGGTTGGATTCACCTGCCTGTATTTTGAAAGATTAGTTTAGTTTTTGGTGAGAATCTCAGATTTCATGAGTGGCTGCCTGGTTTGGTTGTTAAGTTAGAAATTTTACTTAGAAGAATTTCCTTGCTCGTTTAATAAAAGTTCACTTAAAAGATTTTTGGATATCGGTTTATAGTGAATATGTGAATTGAGTTGGTATCTGAAGGCATTCTCAGGTTACTTCATTTTAGATGTCTTTTTCAGGGATTTTTTTTCCCCTGAAAATCTTTAATTGAGGTGAAAAGAGCAAGGTAGAAATGATTAATCAGAAACCGCTCCCAACTGCATCTGTACATAGCAGCATTTCTAGGATTCACTTCTGAGACAGTGGAGTACAAATGTCTAAGTTTTAAGTTTCAGGTACTTATTTTTTGACTCTAAATTCTGAAAATAAATTCTTTTAGGTTAATTCAAGTATGTTAGGTGTTAATGGTAAACCAAGTCCCATCCTTAGTAGGAAGGAATAAAGTTACTCTAATTTTTTCCTACTAAAACATACATTTCCAGTAAGGATCGGACTACATGAAAAGCCCTAGAGTTTTACATATGAGGGGTGATAGAGTGAGCGTTTCAGGTTTAAAATGTCTTAGAGTAAAAGGTGCACTGTTGTGAATGCCCCTCACAGTATTTCTCCTTGCCTCGAGCACACTTTCCCCATCGCTCTTGCCACCTTCTAAAGCAGTTCCAGAACCCCGCTTTCCTCTCTGAGGTCTGATCAGAATACGGTGAATCTGCCCCCGTGTGCCACCCAGCAGGCAGGCAGCTGTGGAAACGGAACGCTGTGTCCTGATTCCCCGACTCACCGATCCGGCGCAAGTGACTTCTGGCCCTTTCCTAAAGTCAGAATGACCAGGAAAGGTCAATATTTTGAATTGATTCAAGGCATTGAGGCAGCGTAACTAAACCGCGTAACTAAAGACACCCATGAAAGAGGACTTCAGAGCTGCTTCAGAAGGTGGAAGGACAATAGGAGAAGTATGTTGGAGGGAGTGTTTGAGATGCACAGTGACAATGTGTCTTTTGCTCTGTTTTTATGTAAACGCTTTTTCCATCACACCTTGTGTTTTTATATTCCATGTTCATATTATAACTGTTATTTGTAGTCAAGTATTGAAATTTTCTATTAATGTGAGATTGATGTTCTTAATCCAGTGTTTACTATAACTGTAAACTAAATTTACATTGAATTAATGCTGTTTTAAACTATTTTTCAGATATACCAGTATATCCAGAGTCGCTTTTATCGGTCTCCAGAGGTGCTATTGGGAATGCCTTATGATCTTGCTATCGACATGTGGTCCCTTGGGTGTATTTTGGTTGAAATGCACACTGGAGAACCTCTGTTTAGTGGTGCCAATGAGGTATATGATGTTTTGATTCTGTTTTCTTCCATAGCTGTGCAATCTGAAGGTTTTTTCCCAGGGGAAGATGTTGATTTACCAGATTAGACACTCACATGTGAAGTCACTTTTGAACTTCTTTTATATTCATTTTTTTTGTGTTTGTTAGTTGCTGTAGAATGGCGAAGTTAAAATAATGAGGTGGTCATTAAGGTTTTAAAATTTGCGTATGAAGAGAACAGTGAATTAAAGTAGAAAGTGTATTGTATAACTTTTACAGATAAGACTAAAAGAAAGGTTAAAATGACCATGAAGGAACAAGGGCCACCCTGAAAAATGGCATAAGCATTGGTATAAACGGAGGCCAACATTTGGAACTGGGAAGAGTAAGGCCCCCGTGTAGCTGCCAGCCTGAGTAGTTGAGGTACTGTGGAGCCCTAGGGTCGCTGGGGTGCAGAGGCTGTGCCCTGTTAGTCTGTTTTCCTGAGAGTTTGGGAGAAAGGGCAGTGGCTCCACCTTCCCCACTGTGAGAGGAATTGAGCTTCCATTCACTACACAACTCTCCCTGCTGTGTAGTTGGGAGATTTTCTTTCTTTCTTTTTTCTTTTAAAGAACAGTTGATCCTTGCTGATCTTGATCACAATATTCCTTTATAAATTAAAAAAGGACAGTTAATGGATTCTGCAGTTAGTAATAAGTAGTGTCAGAAACTTGTCCCTTTGTCATTTTTCATTTATTTCAGCTTGAGCTAGTTTTGAGTTTGTTGGCAACAGCTACTATAATCTTTTTTCTTTTTATCTTATGAAAAAATGAAACTTCATAACTAAATAATGAGAGTGACAATGGTTATTACACTGTACATTGTTGCCTGCAGGGTAGTAACTCAGTACAAGACACAAACCAAAAAAACACTCTTACAAAAAGAAAACAACAGCATGATGGCCATGCCTGTCATCCAGCACCTGGGAGGCTGAGGCAGGGGACTCATGTGCGTTCAAGATAGCCTGGGCTACAGAGTGAGTTTAAGGCCACCCACAGAAGGAAACAACACAAACTTTATTTTCAGTGAAGAAATAAATTAGTATATATATTGAAGTATCTTTAAGACAACAGACTATGTAATTTGAGGATTTGAACTTCTCCCTAATTCTTACTTATGTCTCTTCTGTGTTGCCCTTTGTGTGTGTGTGTGTGTGTGTGTGTGTGTGTGGTGTGATATTTCTCATGTAAGATAAACCATGTGATACCTGAGCTTGTATGTCTGACCTGACTTATTTCATTTAAAATTATGTTCTTAAGTTGTACCCATTTACTTATGAACACCTCGTTTATCTCTCTCTATACCTTAGTATTTGTTTGTAATATTAAGTACTCTGGAAATAAGTCATTTTCCAGGGCCTAACCAGTGTTGCGATCACCTGGCACTTGGGTGGCTCCCTGTCTCCTCACTGTCAGATCAGAGTCCCTTCCACAGCCCCCACAGCCCCTCTCTCCGGGGCAGTTCCCTCTGCAGCTGCTCTCTGCCTCCCTGCTCTCCTCTCCACGCAGCACCTGGCCTTCTCTGTGATCCCTAGCATTTCTTCCCTGCATCTGCAGTGCTGTTTCCCAGACAGCACTGGGCCCGGCCCAGCCCAGCCCTGTGAGTCTCTGCTCCCTCGTGGTCCCCTCAATAGTGAGCGGGCAGCCTCTCTTTGCCCCATGCCCTGTGGCCTTCCTCCACATCAGCCAGCCTTGGCTAGAGTGTCTTTCATGGCTATGGGCCCTTCTTCCCGGGCTCTGCATCCTCAGATTCAACGGCAGGTCAGAAATACTTAGGGGGAAAAGTCTGCATCTTTATCTGATATTTACAATCTGTTTCTTTTGTCATAATCCCCCAAATGGTATAACAAGTATTTCCATAGCATTGTGCTAGGAATTAAAAGTAACCAAGACATACTTTAAAATACGTGGGAAAGACTAGGCATGATGGTACACACCTGTTATCGCAGTACTCAGAAGGCTGAGGTGCAGGAGTTATGTGAGCTTGAGGCCAGCCTGGGCTACAAAGTGAATTTAAGGCCAGCATGAACTGCGTAGTGAGACCCTGTCTCAAAAAGACCAAAAAAATAAAACAAGATGAAAAACGTAGGATGTATGAACCAACTACGGTCCGTGGTCGTATTGGCACCATTTTTCAGGATAGCCTTCATTCCTTCTTGATCAAACCCAAATAATAAGACATTTTAAAGGATTTGTGCACCCACAGATTTTGGCCACAGGAAGGTACAGTGTGAAGAAAGAAGGGTGTTCTTACTTGGAATGAGTCTTCTGAAGATATCAAAGCATGACTATATTTATTATTGGTCTGTTATTATTGTTACATAGACTTTTTGATAGAGATGTAATGGACTGTATTTGAGTGAGTCTACACTTCAAACAACTTTATTAGGTCCTTCCTTATGACTAGATTCCTACCAGTTATTTAAATCCGTCCAAAAACAAACTTTAAAACTTGCTTGTATCTTGTCATAGTGTCATCCATTGTATCCAGGATCACCAGTGGGGGTTTGTGCATTTGTTAATCACTGCATGGTTGGTCCCACAAGACTCAGGAACTTTGTCTTTTAGTCCTAACGGTGTTCTTAGTGCTTGACAAGCATCTGACACACAGGGTGTACTCAGTTTTTAACAACGAATTGATGACTAGAGGTGGGATGTACGGGGGAAATTACAGGCTTTACTTTTCTCTCTAATACAGGTAGATCAGATGAATAAAATAGTGGAAGTTCTGGGTATTCCACCTGCTCATATTCTTGACCAAGCACCAAAAGCAAGAAAGTTCTTTGAGAAGCTGCCAGATGGCACTTGGAACTTAAAGAAGACCAAAGATGGAAAACGGGTAAAATTAGGGATACAACTTTGAGTGGGTTGGCGGGCCCTTCCCTTCCTTCCTTCATTGTTCCCCAGAGCGAGCAGTCATTTTACATCTCCTTTTTAATTTACTTGAAATCCGCATTACAGTGGTCCCTCAGCTCGTGAACTTACTAATTTGTTCCATGATTTTGGAAAAGACAGCCGTATTTGAGGGAAAGATGGCCGCAGTAGTGTTTGTCAACTGATGCAGAATTTGCAAACAAAAACAAAATTTTGCCAAGTGTTTTGTTTGCAAACAAAAGTGTTTGTGAACTGAGGTATCAATGTACATTCACAATGCCAGTATAGTTTAACCTGAACTGTTAGGTACAGACCAATGTTTGACTAACGGTCAAAATTCTCTTTGTGGCTTCATTAAAAAAATGAAACAAAAAATAAGTCCTGTGTGACTGCTTTGAGGAACAGCTGCTCCGACCACTGTGCATTGTTTCCATACCAAGCTCAGGAAGTTTGACCTTTGTTCTGCACGTTTGGGCATATGTAGTAGTCAGGCAGTAATATGCTCCTTGAACAGAAGTCATAATTGCAGTAAATTATTTTTTTAAAGCCCACTTTTGGTGAAATATTTGAAATGGTGGTTTTGGATACAAGAACTGTATGGCTTTTCAAGGATTTGAATTGACTAGAGGGTCTTGTATTAGGTTTGTTTTAGTAATTTTTGTTCTGTCAAAAGCTTTTTCAGATATTTAAACTATGTCAATTTAATGATAGCAGATATGTATTAACATTTGTTTTATGTATCTGGAAATTATCATGTCACCTATAATCTAGCTTGTCCTAATACTGTATGAGTCTAATGTATAGCATTTAAGAGATTTCGGGGTTTTTTGCTCTAGTTTCTGTTTTACCCTTGCGTATTAGTAGTGCTGCCACCAGGTGTCATCTTCTGTGAACTCCAAGATTCCTCACTCCAGCCTGGCCATGGAGTCTTAACTTCCAGTGTCCAGTGGTTGTCCAGTTACTTCCTTTGCAGTTAGGCCGCGGCTTACGGCCTTCTGCCTTATTCACTCAGATTTCAGACAGTAGTTTCTTCTCACAAGACTGTGCGCGCCCCACAGGGAAGGGACAGAAGACACCAAGCCGATATCCTGAGGCCCTCTTTTACCTTTAACCAGGTAGATTTTCAGTCGGGACCCATTTTTCTGTTGAGCTCAAGTACTGAGTGAGGATCCTTAGTTTCACCAGTGTTCAACATAGCCCCTACCGGTTGCAATTAGAATGCAGAATTTGAAACCTACTTTATGTGTTTTCTCTGCAGTGCAACCTGCTACTAGGTTGTTTGGTATTTTTTCCCCATCCAGTTTCCCAGATTTTTGCTATATAAAACCATAGTGAAGTAACTATAGTCTTGTCACCTATCCTTTCTTTCAAAGTGAGCTATAGTTACTATGTTTAATTATTTGGAGAAAAATTTCAGGAATGAATCGAGCAGTCTTCATTTTTGAAATTGAAAGTGACTATCTTACTTACATTTAATATGTTAATTAACTAGATTTTTATGAACTCTTTTCCCTAGTTGAACTTAGTAATTGACTTAGGAAATAAATTAAAGTACGATATAACTTTTTCTCTTTTAGTAAAAATTACTCTTGCAACAAAAAAGTCAATTCCATAATCAAATAATTATATTAAGAAAAATATACTGGAAATTTTTTCATTCACAAGGATAGATTATAATTGGCTATCTTTCTATAGTTTGATTGGTTTTTTAAAAAAATATTTCTTGTGCTTTGAAAGTCCATGTTAGAGTTTCCATTAATGAAACACACACCTCCTTTGATGGATAAAGACATAACTGACACTAAAGGATGCTGTTTAGTTCAAGTGTTAATGTATGTACAGGTAAGATACGTACGTCTAAATACTGCTTGCATCCACCACTGAATACACGATGTCTCCAGCATCTTTCAACTTCCTGTGGGACCCTTTTCTGTCCTCTCACTTCTGATTTCTATAATCATAGGTTAGTATGATGAGCAGCAAACTTCATGTAAGTTAGAATCTTAAGCATTTACTCTTTGTTTCTTTTGCTTAAATTGTTTAGGGGAATGACATTCTTACTGTATGCCTCGGGGTTAATTTCATTGTACTGCCTGGTACTGTTTCCAGCAGTCAGTGAACATTTAGGTTGTTTCCCACATAAGGTACTGAGAACATACTTGTATAAGTCTTTTGTACAAGTATATTTTCATTTCTCTGGTGGCACTGCCTACCCAGGCCACAGGGTATGTGTGTGTTCACTCACTTAAGAGAATACCAAACAGTTCTGCAAGGTTATTTTTGTCATTTTATATTTTCTTAAATTTTTTATTGACACACTTTAGATACACATAATGATAACATTCATCGTAGGGAATTTTACCTCTACGTGATAGATCTTCTTTTTTCCCCCATTCCCCTCCTCTGTCTTTGGTCCTTCTTCCCTTCCTTATTTACAAAAGCTTTTCTTTCCATTTTTCTTCTATTTTTTTAACCATTTTATATTTCCATGATATGATGCAGTCGACTTGTTGGTTTGAAGCTTAGATTATTCATTTGAATCTTTCCTTTTTCTTGTTGCACTTACGGCATACATTCCCTTCTAGTCCCTGCTGTAGGTGTATTGTGCAGTCTTTGATGTGTTTTAACTGTCATTCTTCTTGAAGTATTTTTAGATTCTCTTGTGATTTCTTTAACCCATAGCTATTAAGAATTATAATTACACAGTATTTGAAGGTTTTCTAGATATCATATTGATTCCTAGTTCAGTAGCACTGTGATCACAAAATACTATTTCTCTCACATTCTCTGAGACTTGTTTTATGGTCTAGTATGTGAATCAGTCTTGGCGAGTGTTTCATGTATATGTGATAAAAATTGTATTTGTTTGCTGTAGTCTATAAATACCAATATATAGATCAAGTTACTTGATAATTTTCTTCATATCTTTTATACTCTTGCTCTGTGTGTTTTTGTGTGTGTTTCTTTTGTTACTAGGAAGTGTTCACCTTCGGTGATAACTTTGGATTTGTCTTTATCTTCTGTTAGATGCTTCATGGTTTTTGGGTGGGAGTAGCTCCATGAAATATCAATGACTTCTGATAAATTTAAATGTAAGAATTTTAAATGTAATTTATCCGTATAGGTACTCTTGATTTCTCCAGGTCTGGCTGCTATTTGTTGTTATGTTCCTTTAGCTTAAAGAAGTTCCTTAATGTGTTACTTTTCAGTGGATGACTTCTGATACGTTTAACAGTCATCTATGTGGTAATAGCTTTATTCAACTTCATATTTTCTAGAAGATATTTTCTGTGGATGTGTGGAACTCTAGATTAGCCTTTTTTTTTTTTTTTTTTTTTTGTCTTTTTCATTTTTATCGGTACTGGGGATCGAACTCCCGACCGCCTGCTTGCAAGGCAGGTGCTTATGCCGCTGAGCTAAATCCCCAGCCCCAATTAGCCTTTTTTAATTTTGCAAAACAAAAAGAGGTTATGCTCTCATCTTCTGGATAATGCTGTGAGGAGAAGCCAGTGGTTATTCTTAGCAGTGTTTCCCTCTCTGGCCTGGCTGATTTTAATGTTTTCTTTATATCTGTTTTCAGCATTTTGATTGTCACCCACTTAGGCTGTGTGGTTTTCTTGTATTTCCCTTAGTGTTCGTTGCCTCTCAGGTCTGCGAGTTGATCTCTTTTGTCAGTTTGTGGAAACCTCAGCTGTCCCTGCAGGGCCTGGGGCTGAGTCTCCCCTTTTTGCATTCTCCAGTTCTGTGCATACCTTCAGTGGTCTTGTTGACCCAGAGATAGGCTTGCTTTGTTTATTCAGTTTGGTTTTGCATTTCAAGTTTGGGTGATTTCTTTACTCTATTTTTGACTTTACTGATTCTTTCCCCCTTTTTCTGAGTCCATTTGCCTTTAAACTCATTAAATGGCTGCTTCTGATACTTTTAGTTCTAGCTTCTCTTTTTGTTCTTAATTAAAACATTTTATTTCTTCTGAAATTCCCCACCTAGTCACGCATGTTGCCTACCTTGTAACCTACATTCTTTTACCTGTTTATTAGTTATTTTGAAATATTTGCCTGCCAGTTTCAACATCAGAGTCATTTAGTAATGTGAATTTTCTGTTAACTTTCTAAAAACGTGATTATGGGCTCCTTTGTTCTATTTTTGGTGTCTGTAAGTTTTAATATATGTCAAACTTTTTGTATTTAGGAATAGTTGAGGTGGAAAGAAATCATCTTTCCTGCTGGAAACAAGCATCCCCACACTGTTAGCCACTGGAGTGGGGCTGAATCTCTTGTTTGTATTTTAGCTGAATCTGGGCTTTGTCTGTTGACCTAGATTCTGTTCACCACTCTCAGAGGATGTTCCTTTAAGTGGTGTGTGTCCCGGGGCCAAGTGACTCCAGAGTGCTGTGATGTCACCTGTGGCCACCAGCCTAATTCAGACCCAGAGGGCTTTCTTTCCACAGCTGCTTCTCCCTGCCTGTGTCCCCGGGCTGCCAGCTGCCCAACAGTTGGTCTCTCCCAGAAGAGGATTGTCTTTTGCTAGGATTCATTTAATTCTGGTTCCTTTGGACCCTCAGTTCTCTGATAAGTTTTGAAAAAGCGATGATACCATGACTTGTCTGGTGGTATGGCAGCAGTCATCTCCATTTCTGTATTATAAATAGAAGCAAAAGCCCAGTGATGCTCTGCTGATTCAGCTCAACATTTGTAGAGATTTTAAGACTTACATTATTGTCTGTTATAAATAACAAGGAAATCTGTACACGTTGCAGATAATTTACTAATAAGCATTTTCTAAGGGGATCATAAGTAATTTGCTTTCTAGTTTTATCTGCTATGAGCAGGAGGGTAGGCCCGCATCTCTTACCTTACAGCACGCTTGGAATAAAGGTTGCAGCGTTACAGAACCACGTTGAGGGAGACCATGCAGCAGGTCTTAGGCACAGGAGTAGAACAGCATAGTAGCAGCACTGGCTGGATCAGGAATCAGCCCACTTCCTCTCATTTGCTTGCTTCCACAGCCTTTAAAAAATTTTAAAAATCTTTGGGGGGCTGGGGATTTAGCTCAGCGGCATAAGTGCCTACCATGCAAGAACATGGCCATAAATTTGATCCCTGGTACCCAAAAAAAAAAAAAAAAATCAAAAATCTAGCTGGAACTGTACAAAAACAGCCATACTTTGCTGAACCCTAAGCTAGGTCTTCATGGGTCATACTTGGTCTCAAAATTTTGTTGTTCTTACAAATAGCAGTATTTTTAAGATAGCAATAAGTAGGATCAGGGGGCATAGCTCAGTGGTAGACTACCTGTTAAAATGCATCAGGCTCTAGGTGCATCGCCAGTACCACCCCAAACAAAACCAACCAACCAACCCACCAAAATAGTATGGTAACACAGAAAAAGGCAGGAGATCCAACTGTGAAGTGTCCTTCCAGATAAAGGGCTCAACCATACTTAAATATATTTGAAGTTAATGCAGACCCTTACAGTATTTCATCAAATTTAGAAAAAGACTTTGCTTTCTTTCCTTGCAGGAGTACAAACCACCAGGAAGCCGTAAACTTCATAATATTCTTGGAGTAGAAACAGGAGGGCCTGGTGGCCGGCGTGCTGGGGAGTCGGGTCACACCGTAGCTGACTACTTGAAGTTCAAAGACCTCATCTTAAGGATGCTGGATTATGATCCCAAATCTCGAATTCAACCTTACTATGCCCTGCAGCACAGTTTTTTCAAGAAAACAGCCGATGAAGGTACAAATACGAGTAACAGCGTCTCCACAAGCCCTGCGATGGAGCAGTCCCAGTCTTCAGGCACCACCTCCAGCACGTCATCCAGCTCAGGTCTGAGCCAGCATGGGGCGGGCTTAGTGGTTTCCTTGCCCAGTGGGATTCTTCATAAGGTGTCTGTAAAATATGTCAGGAAAGTGGCAAAGAATTATTTTACTTAAATCCGTTGTTTGTGGTTAGCAGTAAATTCATCCTCTCCAAAGCTCCACACCATTTAATTATGCATGTAATAGTTTCAGGTAGTATTTGTCACATGCTTGGATTTTTCTCTTAACGTGATTCACCTTGTTGTAAAAGTGGTTGATATGAGAAAACTTTAAAAAAAGTTTTTGAGTATTTACGGACTTTGTGAATATACTTAAGTTAGTTTTTCAGATTTTTCTTTTCTTTTTGGGGACATCCTCCCAGTGTGTAGTTTTCAAGTACCACTTTGGACAGAGGTGAGGTGAAACACCCCAGTTACACTGTGTTGTGCTGTTCAGGTGGATCATCCGGGACAAGCAACAGTGGGAGAGCCAGGTCGGACCCCACGCACCAGCATCGGCACAGCGGCGGGCACTTCACGGCCGCGGTCCAGGCCATGGACTGCGAGACGCACAGTCCCCAGGTGAGCCGCGTGGTGCTGTGGCTCCTGCCCTGCCTGGGCTTAGGATCGGGCATGTTACTTATTCTGAAGGCTCAAGGGCCCTCATTTCTGAGAAAATAGTCCCAGAAGCATGTTCCAGTGAGCGGTAGATAGGGCTCACAGTTAAGCTGGGCATGATGACACATGCCTGTCATCCCAGCTACTCAGGAGACTGAAGCAAAGCACACTGGAAAAAAGCAGAGAGGCTCAAAATGAAAACTGTGAGCAGTTTCAGGAACCAAAACTGAATACTAACACCACGGAGGCAGAATAATTGTCATCCAGGAGAAGTTGCTCAGAGTGTAAGAGTGAGGACCAGGACTTCGAAGTTCAAAGGCTGCTGTGGTCTGTGAGGTGAAGCCAGGGCAAGTGTTTGAAACAGTGGCTGCCATCCACCCACCAAATGGTGGCCCTTTCTTTGTACTGTTTTGGAAACGAGTCTCATTATGTTGCTGATGGTGGCCTGGGTAACATAACGAAACCCTGTCTTGGGAGAAAAAAAGAAAAGGCTTGCATTTATTGACTGCCTGCCCTGGTCTTGTAGTACTCACAGGCCTGGCTTCTGAGTCTGTTTTAGGATTGCTTTTTTATTTTTATTATTTTTGTCCTCTCTAAAAAAACCCCAGTTTTTTGTTTGATTTTGCTTTTGGTTTTAGACCCATTAAAGAGAGGATTTATGTAAGCTATTTTACATTTCCATGAAGTGGGCGGTGGCTGTAACCTTTGTAAACTAACACTCATACACAGTGCCTGTTGGACTGGTGAGAGGCGGCATGCCATGTGCTGGGGGGCCAGCCTGACCCGGGTACCGCTCCCTCTTCTGGGGTGGTTATTGACCTTCCTGTGCACACTCAGTGCTGTGAGAAAGCCTCACATGGAGCTGGGTTGGCACCACCATCAGTTACTATTTGCCACCCTCTGGGGCAGTCTTCCACATTTCTGTTTTCCCCACTCTTCCGTTTTCTTTAATCATTGTCCCAAACTTTTCTGCTCTTTGCAGAAGCCTTTGACTTCACACACTCTCTGTGGTTGCCCACTCCTGCTTTGTAGAAAGAGTCTTCAATAGGAGCTTCCTGTAGTTTTTGTCACAGGACAGGCGCACGGTCCTGCCAGGGTGGGCCATGTCTGCTCCTTGCACCCCTTGTCATTAGAGCAGCACATTTCCTCTCGTCTGAGCTCGAGGCAGCCTGCGTCCTTCCATGGCTGCTGCTGGTCAGCAGCATTTGTCCTTCTGAGGCCTGTGCTGTGTTCGTCAGGATCCCGCCGGGGCTGCTTGTCCTCCCCTTTCTGTAGCTCTGCTCAGGCCTGCCCAGGCCGGCTTCCTGACCCGGCTCCACTGCCTGCAGCAGTGGTGCTCTTCACCAGTGAGTTGGGGCTGTGCTGGGCTCACCGGCCTCTGCTTTCCTGTGTTCACATGTGTTCCTGTGCCTTGGTCCCCTGCCGGGCTTTCTCCTGCTCTGCCCAGTGTGAAACTTGTGCACCTTTGAGTGCTGTGATCACTCCCCTTTCCCAGGTCACGCCTCTTCTCTGAGGTCATGCCTCTGCCCTGGTCACGCCTCTTCTCTGTAGTTTCAGCCGTGCTGCCTGGGGCTGCACTCGCTGCCTCTGTCGCAGGCCTTCTTGGCTCCTTCCCTTGGACTGCCTCACACTCGAGCCCCATGGCCATTGTTCAGAGTCATGCACTGTGCACTCCACTTTGCAGGGGTGCACCTGACACTGCACGTGGGTTGCCAGCCCAGCTCTCCTGCTGTTATCTGTTCTTTGCTGTAAACGTATCTGTTCAGTGAGTCGTCCATGTGGGCGCTGGGGTTTTAACCCTTGGCTCCTCTCCCAAACTGACACATGGGCAGCTGTCCCCATAGCTGCAGCCGTCTACCCCAGTCCTATTCACTGCCATGTTTTTCTCTGTAGCCACATGAACTTGACTTTGAAACTGTCCGCTCTTGTGATTTCCTCTACTTAAACCAGTGTTTGACTTCCCTTTGGATGTTAAAAGCCAGAGTTCTCACCACGATGCTACTGATTTTCATGATCCCAGCCCATCTGTATCCTACGCCCATACCGATTTTTTAAAAACACAAACCTTTCATGCCTTTCTCACATTGCTTAGGTTTTCACCCTGCAATATTTTTTCCTCACACTATTGTTTAGTAACCACTATTGATACTTTGCCTCTTCATTGGAACACGCCTGAAAGCCCAGCACTGTGGGAGGCTAAGCCATTTGGTTCGCAAGTTCAGGTACACCCTGGACAACTTAGTGAGCCCCTGTCTCAAAATAAAACATAGTTAAAACATCAGGGAAATTAGCTCAGTGTGGAGGCCCTGGGTTCAGTTCCTGGTACCAAGAAGTCAAAAATCACTACTCGCACGGATATCCTAAATCCTTTAGGATATCCTGCCATCTTCTCTTCTAGATACATTAAATACTGCAAACGTATCCAGAATAGTATAAGACAGCTGTGTCCTGTGTATTTCCTGCCTGTGTTTGGCAGATGTCAGTGTTTTACTTTATATTGGGGGCACACTGGGCCGGTTCTTGCTGTTTGCCAGCCTGGCCTCCAACTTCTAGTCCTCCTGCCGCAGCCTTACAAGTAGCTTGGATTACAGGTGTGAGCAACTGATTTTTTTAATAATACAGTTACATGGTTAAACAGAAGTAAATATAAAAGTGGGAGTCCAGGAACTGGAAGGGGAGAGGGGATGAGTGAATAAAAAAACATAGAGGATTCAAGAAAAACCCATGTCCTTTAGCTACCCAGTTTCTAATAAAACTATTATTTACTTTTCATATTGTTTCTGGAGATATTTTTATGTGTGTACACAAAGCCAACATATTTTCTTCATCCAACTTTGTACACAAGTAACATCATGCCATGCATACTTGCACAGGTTCAGCGTGTATCTTGGATCTTATACTGTATCAGTCCACAGAGAGCTGCTTCGTTTTTGCAGTTCCACAGTATTATATCTCTCAAATCGGTAAATTATCTCATTGGTTGTCCCCTTCTGTCTCCTTTAATTTTTGCAGTACTGGGGACTGAACCTAGGGCTTCGTGCATACCAGGCAAGCACTCTGCCAGTGAGCTACGTGGCCATCTGTTTCTTTAAATTTGGTGACAGAGTCTCACTAAGTTCTCCAGGCCAGCCGTGACTTAGATGCGCCTGCTTCAGCTTGCCTAGTACAGGCACGCACCACTGTGTTGTGCTCAGTAGTTTCCTACTGATGGACATGCAGCTTATTTCCACCGTAGGTACATCATTTACACATGTGCAAGTCATCTCATACAGATTTCTGAAAGCTATTAAAAGTAAAATTGCAGAGTCAGAAAGTAAGGTAACTTATTTTTAATAAATATTACCAAATTGTCCTCCATGATTTTATGGTCTAAGAATTTGAGAAGTTCCATTGTTTAACATGTTCACATCAGGGACACACATGCATGACTGTCCCATCAGGTGGCTTGCACCACAGTCACGCATATACTGCTGGTGGGAACATGTTAAAAACTATTATACCCGTAATCCCAGCACTCAGGAGGCAGAGGCAGGAGGATTGCTGAGAATTCCAGGCCAGCTTTGACTAGTATGTTCAAGGCCAGGCTGCACTGTGAAGTGAGACCCTATCTTTGAAAACAAAAACAACATCAGCAAATAAAAGTCAAGCAGAAGAAAAACTCGTAACAGTGCTGGGGTGTGGCTCCGCAGTAGCACACTCACCTCCTGTGCACAAGCCCCTGAGTTCCATCGCCAGTTCTGTAGACCCCACACAAAACCCAACTCCTTAGAGTTGTCTTCTCTTACCAGTGTTTTTTACTTTTCATAGTTTTGCTTGTTTGTAGTCAGCTATGGTCTGAAAATATTAAGTGGAAAAGTCCAGAAATACTAAGTTTTAAACTGTGCCCACTGCTAAGCAGCGTGATATCTCCCACCACATTGTCCAGTTCCATTCTGTGCTTCTCTGGGTGTAAATCACCCCTTTGTCCACCTTTCTACATGACCTGTCCAGCATTTGATTAATAGCCATCTCAGCAGATTGACTGTCATGATGTGTGGTGTGTGTGAGTAATCTTTGTTTTACTTAAAAATGGTTCCCAAGACCAGCAGTAGAGAGGGTACTTTGGGAGGGAGCCCTTGTCGGCGTCACTTCCCTCCAGTGGACTCTGATGATGGTTCCATAACTCTCTCACTTTACCTCATTTATAAATTGAGCTTTACCACAGGTCCACACAGAAGAACAAAACAGTACAATCATCGCTCCAAATCTAATTCCATGTCCATGGGTTCACCAACCGCAGATAAAAATATTTGGGAGGCCGGGCGTGGTGGCTCATGCCTGTAATCCCAGCACTTGGTAGGCTGAGGCAGGAGGATTGTTGCGAGTTTGAGACCAGCCTCGGCTACAAAGTGAGCTCACGGCCAGTCTGAACTGCACAGCAAAACCCTGTCTCAAAAGACCAAAAAAAAAATATGTGTATTTGTATGTGTATTTGGGAAATGTTGCACCTGTAATGAACACACCCAGACTTTCCTTGTCCTGACTCCTGTACAGTAAAACTGTGGCTGTAACTGTCTACATAGCACTTCTAATAGGTGTTAAAAGGAATTAGAGGGCTGAGGTACAGCTCAGCACAGCGCCTCCCTGGCAAGTGTGCAGTCCTGAGTTTGATTCTGGGTCGTCCCCCTCTCCCAAATTAGAGATGATCTGAAGGAATTAGGAGGATGAGCGTAGGTTCTACACAAATACCACACCATTTTACATAAGGGACATGCGCATTCGTGGACATGGGTATTCACAGGTCCTGGAACCAGCCGCTTGCCAATAAGAAAGATGCTCTGTATGCAGAGAGTCTGCCAAAATCTGACATGTGCTTCAGCAGTTCGCTGTGCTGATAAGTGTATGGAAGCCGACGGCCACCACTCTGAGCACCTCTTATCATTGTGGAGGCCGAAGGTGATTTGTATTGATCTCATGGTGTCTGCGTAAATTTAGTGTCAAAATGTTTATACCAGTTTTTCTTTTCCTGGTGTATACATTTCGCTTGGTGGACCCTGTAGGACTGTGCAAGGTTTTATGTGTGCACTGGGATTTGGAACTTGCCCCCCATGAATGAGAAGGGCTTTTATTGTGTAGGTTGAGTTTCACCCAAAGTGATTGGGACTAGAGCTGTTCAGTTTTGGAATATTTGCATAGGCTTCACCAGTCAACTTTTTCCAATCTGGAAATGGAAATTCTGGTGCTCCACTCAAAATGTTTTGGGTTAGGGATGCTCTACCTATGTTATATTTTCCAAGAACTCTGCCATTTTTTTTCTACTGGATTGTTTTCAATAGTTTCTCTAAGGTTTGGTTCTCAGAGTATCTTCATTGAGCAGTAATACCTGAGGATTCATGCTAGCCTCTAATAGAGACAAAGCCTTTGCCTCCCCAGAGCATGCAGTGACCTAAGTATCACACACACAGTGGAGCATGAATAAAAAATGCAGGTAGCATTAGTCACAAAAAGAAAGGAAGGGCTGGTATATCTCAGAAGTATTGCACTTCACTAGCACCACAGGGGGAAAAGAAGAAAATAGCAAGGGATAGTGTCCTAGAAAATGGCTGGCTAGTTGGAAGTGTTGTGTTAATTAAAGCAGGCCAGACTCTTAGTGACACAGCCCCAATGTATGGTACACAGTACTTTTCTCTGTTCTTTGTGTGACAGCCCAGACTGCATGTTCATGTTAATGGCATGGCCATCATCTGTGTCTTAGACTTCCAGTGCCATCTGTGGTTGCACCATGCCCCGGTACCTGGTTGTCCACTGTGCAGTAACCTGTAGACAGGAGGAGTTGGGAAGTGTGTGTGCCAGGCTGTGGGTGGCGTACAGAATCATTCTGTTGATATGTGAACGCATAGCTGTGCCGTGGCGGGCCAGGAAGTACAGCACACCATATAGATGTCCAGAATGAACAGAATTTGTGGACAGCTGGCACCTTTGCCATAGAGGGGCAGGACAGCATTAACCAGAGTGTTACTGTACACTACAATCCCAACTATTGAGAAAGACCATCCAACTTGAGCTTTAGAAATAGGATCATTCCAGGGCAGAGAGGTCATTTGACAGATGTGGGCCAGTGGAGGAAAGGAGGAGGTTGGAGAAATGGTGTTGGCCAGATTATGTCGGTGTATGGATTTTGTTTTTCTGAATGCAGTGAGAAGTCAGGATTTGAAACAGAGAAGTGATTGGATATATGCTGGAAAGGGGTTTTCCTGCTACTCTTTGGAGCATGGGTGGAGGCGGATGGGAATAGAAGTGGGGAGTTCATTTTGCAAGGGAAAGCGCTAGTGTCCCAGCTGAGTGGTCTCCTCCGAGGTGGACCCCGGACTGTCGTTGGTGGGTGAGCTGGAGAGAGGAGTTGTCAAGCAGACGCATGGAAAGCAATCTGAATCGGGAAGAGGGAGAAAGGAGAGAACATAGAGGGTATCTCTGGGACTTGCCAAAATATTGTTTTGTGCTTTATAGAAAACAGTTGACTAACCTTGGCTGGCATGGACAGTGCTGTCAAGGAAAGACAGTGGCTAGGGAAATACATGATCTGATGTATAATTGGGACTTCCAAAAAGTGCCACTTTCATGGTAAAATACTTTCACTCTGGCACATAATTTGAATTTTATGTAAGTCTCATAATTAATGGAAGCACTTGTGTCATAGCTTCTGATTGATGATTAAAGCTTGAAGGCAGCACTCTAACCTTTACGGATGTCCCTGCAGGTGCGTCAGCAGTTTCCAGCACCACTCGGCTGGTCAGGCACTGAAGCTCCTACACAGGTCACTGTTGAAAATCATCCCGTTCAAGAAACAACCTTTCACGTAGCCCCTCAGCAGAATGCGTTGCATCATCACCATGGAAACAGTTCCCATCACCACCACCACCACCACCACCACCACCACCACCATGGACAGCAAGCCTTGGGTAACCGGACCAGGCCAAGGGTCTACAATTCTCCAACAAATAGCTCCTCTACCCAGGATTCTATGGAGGTTGGCCACAGTCACCACTCCATGACATCTCTGTCTTCCTCAACGACTTCTTCCTCGACATCTTCCTCCTCTACTGGTAATCAAGGCAATCAGGCCTACCAGAACCGCCCGGTGGCTGCTAATACCTTGGACTTTGGACAGAATGGAGCTATGGACGTCAATTTGACCGTCTACTCCAATCCCCGCCAAGAGACTGGCATAGCTGGACACCCAACATACCAGTTTTCTGCTAACACAGGCCCTGCACATTACATGACTGAAGGACACCTGACAATGAGGCAAGGGACTGACAGAGAAGAGTCCCCCATGACAGGAGTTTGTGTGCAGCAGAGTCCTGTAGCTAGCTCGTGACTACATTGAAACTTGAGTTTGTTTCTTGTGTGTTTTTATAGAAGTGGTGTTTTTTTCCAAAAACAAAGTGCAAAGCTGCTTGAATCAGAAGGAGATTAACACACTGAACCGCTACAAGAGGGCAGAGCTTTTTTTTTTTTTTTTTAACTTGAAAAGATTGAAAAGATTGCAAAGGGACAATGAAGTTTTTAAGAGCCATGTCCAAACTCATCTTCATGGATAGCTCAGAGGTATCCTCTTTTTGCCTCCCCCATTTAACTTGCCACCTCCCAGTCATAGTGGGCTTTTTGTCTTTCTGTTCAACAAAAGTTAAAGTTCAGGTGTTGGTCTTGGTCATTTGCCAACTGATTTTAAGAATAAAAAGGCACTGCACATAATTTGCATAAAGGGCCCCACAAGGGTGGTTTTTCTTTTTCTTTCTCCCTCCCCCCTTTCTGCCTCCCCGCTTTTTGTTTGTTTCGTTTTGGGTGAGGGGGGAATTGGGGTTTTTTAAGTCCTCTAAACACACTTGGGCACGGAAATGCAGTACTGTAAGGAAGAGGGACCTCCAGCTCACACAGACATCATCTTCAGCTGTATGAAAGGAACGATTGTGTTGGCGTTTGTCAGGCACACTGAGCATGCTAAGTGGCGAGGATCAGGACTCTCCTGTCTGAACCTACTGAGGAGCAAAGCAGCGATGGCACGGGAGCCTCGGACCTCCTGCGGGAGAGGCCGCAGGAGGGTGGACGGAACATGACTGGTTTCCTAACCGAGGTGCACTGAGAAGCAATCAACGGGTCAGTCGTGGCCAGTCCTGGGGAGGTCTGAGTGGTGGTCTTTGGGATAACCTTTGGCCTTACGGATCTGGACTCCACATGAGAAGAGCCTACCATTTCAGATGCAATCACTTGTGGACATGCTTTTGCAGACAGTCCTTAATGCTGAAAACACAGAGAATGGGTAATTCAAGAGGCCTTTCTTTTAAAATAGACTTTTGTGACCCACTAATTGTAAGGTATTGCAAGGTCACTTTGCGTGTGTCATAAAGTTGACTTCTTATTGGTTGAAGGTCACAGAAGTAGTGGTTTGCTTTGATGGAAATAGCTACAGCTGTGTCCCTTCCTGCTTTTTACTTTTTCTTTTGCTTTTTTCTCGGCACGTGGTATCTCCACCATTTCTTCTGCACAAAGATGTCTTCTGTTCATCCTGAACATTTTTAAAAAATGCAGAATTTTATGTGACTGCTTTTTTGCCTCACAATTATGCTGTGAATTTTACAAAAATTTATTTTCTTTTTTGATAATTTATTGTACCAAAGCTGTTTTTATAGCACATAGATGTCTGTAACCAATAATGTAGCAGTTCTGCACTTTGACACAAGGTGTAACTAGACCATTTTTAAATGTCAGTTGAAAATTATGGCTGTACTATTGCTTAAACAAAACTGGAACTGTTGTTGAATCCATAGCCAATACATTTACAGCAGTCTGTGTACTGAACATAGTAGGTTGACATCCAACTCCAGATCACAACATCTGTCGCGATCTCAGTGTGTTCAGGCTTCCGAAGGTAAAGAAAGGGACACTGGATCCAGGCGCTGTGGAGCCCACAGTGGGTCCTAGACTCTTGACTACCCTGCGTGTGCGCTTGAACAGAGACCTTGCCCTTGCTCACAGTGCCAGGCCTGCAGCAGGAGCAGGAGCAGGAGCAGGAGGGAGCAGGCGAGCCCTGCGCGCGGCCTGACCTGACACGCGGGGTGGAGTGTAGCAAAAGGGTGCCTCGGTCCAAAATGACGCTGCCTTAAATGTAACTCGGTCCGGCAGTCGCCAAATTTGTGTTCCCCTCTTAAATTGACCAGTGTTAGGGTGTGATGCTTTTGAGCGGTTGGATTGGGAGAATGAAGATAGCAAAGTTTACCTGTCCCGGATCAAAGAAGCCTAGAAAAGGAGCAGTAATCTACCTCTGCCGATAACCCTGTTCGAAACAGCAGCAGGACACCACATGACTTTGCATGGGTCAACTCCATGTGGCTGGCTAGGTCAATTTTCTGAACAAAAGCAGGTTTTTATATGTAAACAATGATGAGAGAAAGGCTTAAGACTATGTAAATGTGAATGGAAACTCAGAAATACCGTTTTTATAAACCACAGAATTTTGTTGTTAATCAGGAGATCCATATTTATTTTGTAATTAAATGTCAAGCCTGTGGATGATTTTTTTAAACTTGGTAGTTCATAAAGGTTTACAGTGAATAAAAGGGTATCATCTTGAGTTTAGCAATATCAAAGGGATTCAGTAGTTACTGCTGTTTAGGAATATGGAGCATAAGGTTAAGATACTCTGTGGGTCAGGGCATTTTTTTTCTGTGCTGGTTGCCACATCTTAGCAAGCACCAAAAAACTAAAGCAGTTTTTAAAACAATATTTACATAAAGAAAATCATAAAATCCAATGCTTCTGCATACTGTGTTATGTTACAGTCCAGTTTTGTGTGCTTTACTACACAGTTTGGTTACAGGACTTCTGTGCATTGTAAACATAAACAGCATGGAAAAGGTTAAATACCTGTGTTCAGATTGTAAGATCTAGTCCGGACTTGCTGTGTATATTGTAACGTTAAATGAAAAAAGAACCCCCTTTGTATTATAGTCATGCGGTCTTATGTATGATAAACAGTTGAATAATTTGTCCTCAGACTCTTTACTATGCTTTTTTAAAATTAATTTAAGAAAAATGTAAACATAGTAAAAACCTTCCTATGCAATTAACCTGGTCCAGGTTGGTAGGTATACCGAGTATAAATTTAGTCAAATGTGTAAAAAGGAAAATATCTGAGTTACATCAACGTAGGCTTCAACTATCTCTGAAAGTAAAAATTGGAGGTTTAACAGATCACTTGATTTTTAAAATTGATTCTTTATCTAAATAATGACCTTATTCACACAGTTTCTGATGCAGAGTGCTAGTATTTTAGTTGGTAGTGTTTATAGTGGAAGTGGCTTTGACCTGCCTGGTTGGGGGGGCACACATGGACCTGTCTCTCCTTCCCCGGGCCCTCGGATGCATCAGGGGCTTTGGTGTATCAGGGCTCTAACCTGAGGTTTCCTTGTTTTGTAAATTAACCTGCCATAAGTATATATTAAGGTGGCTCTCCGCAACTAGGAAACTTAAATAGTTCACTGTTAAATTCTGTAAAGTTTGGGTTGGTAAAGTTGAACTTAGCACATGTAACTATGGAAAACTTTTTAGTTTTTTTCTTAGGGTCTGAGAATTAGTAAGTGGCATATTTTGTGGACCCCCCCAAAAAAGAACCCCCAGACTTATTTAATGATTCCAGCTATCCTATGTTAAAGTTCATTAAAAATGCAGTAATTGTGTAAGGCCTTAAAGTCCTTGCCACTGTTCTTCCCCGCTTGTGTGCAGTTAAGTTTATCGCCATGTTCTTTTAGGAAGACACGGAATCCCAGGTGAGGCTGACATGCGCTGCCTTCCCGGAGGTTCCCTGACCTCCCTTTGGCTGGTCCCCTCGGCCGGCCCAGCCCTCGCAGCGGGAGCTCAGTGCTCCCATTGGTGGGGAACTTTTTAGTGAGGGTATGTGACAGACCCAGGAGTGTATTCCCAAACCTTGACTTGCCTTAATGTCATTGTGAAGCAAGTCTAAAGATACAAGGTAAAGGGGGCAAAAGCCACACACAACTTGGGTCTGCTGAGACTGTTTACATTTTTAAAGCTGCTTGCACTGCCAACTGCCCAGAGGTTGGGGCGCTTTCAGTATCAGGGAGCAGAGCAGGTATCTTTCTCAGGCTGGCTTCCTGTAATCACGAGACACCTCAAGTCATTGTTAGGCCAGAGAACAGAAGAGACAGTTCTGGAGAGCAGTATTGTGACTTGCAAGGAGCCGTGCGAGCCGGTGGGCTTCCGCCCAGACAGGGACTCAGTCCCGTGCTGGTGCCGGGAGCAGCAGCTGTTGCCCTCCGGAGCGCTTGTCCCTCCTAGAAGTGGCTCAGTGCTTCTTGTGGTAAGAAGTGGAGAAGAGCCGGGGGTGTTTGTGCATATGCAGATGGTACCCTAATACTGAAAGCAAGGATTTTCCCCCCTGAAGTATTTTTTTTTAACCCTCGAATCTTCAGAGGCACCAGTATTTCTCACACAGCCTGTGGCCACTCCCTCAGGTTCCAACGTCATCCTGACACCCCCAGGTTACAGGTAGGGGTCGGAGGTGCTGCAGGCCGTGCATTCCCGCCATCCCTGGCTGGGCCCGTGGGTGCACAGTGCTAGGGAAGGGGTGACGGTGGTGTGCCTGGTGTGTCTTTGCACTTGGGTCGGGAACAAAGGTGGCGATGTGCTAAGGGTTGGGGAAGAGAGGGCAAGTCTGTGGGTGCAGCCGGGTTCACGGGGCTGAGGCCCGCTGCGTGGACGTGCCCCACTGAGTGTCCCCATAGGTAGGAAGACCCAGTTTCCAGGTCGCCATGTTACAACATTCGCTGTTTGAAAGACCACAGCTTATTTTGTCTTTCCAATTAAATTTTCTAACACTGTAACCTTTGGGGGTTTTGGATTTTTATTGTATGTACACTTGCTGCCAGTGTCTCCCTCTGAATCGATGTGACCTCTGAGTTCTCTGGCTGGACCTGGTGGAGGAGCGGGGATTGAGTCCCAAAGGCCGCAGCAGTGTAGGAGCTGCAAAACCTGAGCAGTGGGCATGGTGGGAGAAGGAGCAAAAAGGGTCAGGGCGTGCTTTGGTGGTGGGCTGGTGGCTTCCTGTCACTGTGGTGCAGGAGAACTGAACTCAGGCTATATGCGATAGCCGGGCTCCTTAACTCCCCCGAAATGCTGTGAGATGGTTGAAGACATTGGTACAAGACAGCCAATGGGCTGCCTTGAAGAAGCTCACACCGGTGCCCCAGCTAGTGGCAACCGTGTCCTGGTACCATGACACTCCAGGGTGCCTCTTGCCCTGTGTGACAGGAAGCAGGCGCTGCGGAAGGGCACCAGGGTTGGGCTGCTCAGCGCTCAGCAGTTAACCCACATTTTCAGGAATCAAGTCACAGACCCCTGTCAGAGTTTGGTTCATAGTGGCAGGGGTCTAGGTGTGGTCTTTGAAGCCTGGCAAGTGACGACACCTCGTAGGCAGGGAGTGTGTAGCATATTCCAAGGTGTTCAATCTAGGCGCCCAAGAAAGGCAGGCAGGAATCGTCAGAGGAAACTGTTCATGGTGTGCCCGGTATGGAAGGGGCCATGCGACATCCTGTCAGAGCTCCCATGTCTCGGACAATGGCACATGTTATACCCGCCTGGGGCCAGGATTTACTCCCAAAGTCTCAGGTCTGGCCAGGCTGGGAAACCTCCCAGGGCGCAGCCCCGATCTGTGTCAGGTTCTCCCCCAGCTCCCCGGCTCTGGTGGCCTCAGACCCTGGCTGGCCTGGGCCTCAGTGCTGCGTCTCGTGCCTGTGCCTTCCTCATGCCTTTGCCAGCCCTCTTGGTTCTTTGTCAAGGAAAGGTACCCACACTGCAGCTGCTGGATTTCCTGTGGCTTCCAGCAGATAGTGCATCTCAAGCCGTAGCCCTGCTCCAGTCAGGAGTGGCACTGCCTAACAGAGCTTGGGTCTGCAGCCTGAGCGAACGCTGCTTCTGCAGGGACACAGCCAGCACGACTTCGGGAGAAGAGGTGAGTCGTCTTCGCCAGGAGTAATTACACGACTTACTGTGTAGTCCACATCTGGAGTCCTTCACTAGCTGTTAACTTTCCTCCGCCAGTTGCTTCTGCCACTGCAGAGTACCTGTATGTGTTCTACAGCTTGGAGAGTTTTCCCGACTGTTTACTTTGCCGCAACATTGTGTGTGCTGTTGCATGTGATATGGCACATCGGATGACTCCCCGGTAGAACCACCTCGGCATCACCAGAGCTCTCGAGGGTATCAGCGCTGAGGATCCCCAGAGCCTCTGAGGCAGCGCTGTCTCCAGGGCCTGGGGACCATGACCCTACCGTGTGTCCGTACCTCCCTCCCCTGCTAGGCACCCTCTTGCCCTCCAGAGGAAGCTCTGACTTAAAAAAGGGGGTGGCAGCACTTTTAAGTGCATAAACTGCACTGGTGTTACTGGGGAAGCTTTTGAAGGTTATAACCCACGTTTTAAGAATGGGGGTAGTGGGGCCTGGGGATTTAGCTCAGCGGCATAAGCACCTGCCTTGCAAGCAGGCAGTCATGAGTTTGATCCCCAGTACTAAGAAAAAAAGACCAAATTTTTAAAAAATGGGAATGGCTGCTACTTTTTAAAAACTTTTTTTTTTTTTTTTTTTACTTTGTTGGTATGTCACCCAGCTTGGCTTCTTTGATATTACTTTTTTTTTTTTAAGTCAGGATCTTTGTAGTGCAGGGTGGCTTGGAACTCAAGTAGTGCTGGCTGGCAGCGATCCTCCTGCCTTAGCTTCCGAAATGCTGAGATCACAGACTGTGCCAGTATACCCAGCTCTCCTCTTTCCCGAAGCACAGACAAAAGTGGCTTGGAACAGACAGAGTCTGCGCCTTGCATGAGAATATACGTGGGTAGGGATTAGGCGTCCCCCTAAGAGGCTGCAGCAAGCCCAAGAGGTCAAGCTCCCTTACTCTCCGCCCCCGTCCTGGGCAGACTTGCTTGGAAGGCAGTGGACAGGCCTGGTGACACAGTCGGTTGCCGTGGTCTGTCGCTGGTGGGTTTGCACACTTCTGCGCCCTGCGTACCCGTTGGGTGCGTGGGGCTGGGCTTGGGTCCCCCCAGGCTGGGCTGTGATCCGCGCTACACTGAGATGGGTTGGGGGCGGGGAGGGCACCGTCCCACTCTTCCTCCTGCAGCGGGGTGGCTACTGGCGCCCCTGCCATCCCAGGACTCCCTCTCTACCTCAGTCCAGGTGGTGCCGGGTGCTCGGCCTCGAGGCCTTCCCCATGGACCCCTGCACGTTCGCTTCAGCTGTGTCGCAGAAGGACAAGGACCTCAGGGACCCAGGCAAGAGTGGAAGCCTGGTTCCTGCGAGGTGATCCGGGTGAGCCTGCGGAGGACACCCGAGACTGACCCTGTGCGCTGAGGAACACCCCCCTCACCCCGCCTGCCGTGGGGGGAAGAGCACAGTGGCCGCCCACGCAGGGACCACGAGGGGAGCGGGGTGGGAGCTGGTGCAGCCACCCTGAGTGCTCAGCAGATTCGAGGAAGGGCCAGCACTCCGGGAGGCTGAGGCAGGGGGATTGCACCTTTGGGTCCAATCCAGGTAAGGTAGTGAGACACTGTTTTAACATGAAAAGCAGGCCTCAGCTGTGGCTGCAGTGCTGCATGAAACAGGCAGGGTTCAACCCCAAGGCCTTGCACCTCGGTTTCTGCTCTCCGCCCTTTGCAGCAGGGCAGGTGTCAGCAAATAGGGTGCACCGCAGGTTTTGTGTAGCCCCTCACACTGAAACATTTACATTAAGTGGCTGAAAAACATCGAGCAAATAATAGTTCTGCATATCTGCACATGAAGTTTCACCTTCACTTCCATAGATGAAGTTTTACTGGTACACGGCTGGCCCTGTTTGCACCCCTGTCGTCTCTGGCTGTTCCGGGGCTGCCCCTGCAGGGACCATTGGTGGCATCTTGTCGGTCTCTGCGGTTTGGTGTCCTCCCTCCTAACTCGGCAGCATCACCAGGCCCCGTGTGTCACGATGCTGCCATACTGCACTTCTGGTT